TTATGTATGTATTAAATTTATATGCTACCCATCTTCCTGAGAGGTGGAAAATCTAAGTTCTTGTCCTCCACTAGACAAGAAACCGGCTGGGTGATTTTGCCCCAGCTTTTGTGGCCTTAGACTGGGAAGTCAAAAAACATCCTGTTAGTAAGCAAAGGCCAACTACTTCCAAAAATGTTGCCAAGGAAACTGCACGGACCTGTCCATGAAGTCACCAAGAGTTGAGACTGACTTGAAAGAACTAAATAAATAATTTTATTTTCATGATTTATACCCTGCCTTTCTGTTTCAGTGATCACTGAAGGCAACAAAATTCTGAACAGGAATAGAAAAAATTAAAATTACAGATTAAAGATAGCGTAAAATAAATATCAAAAGTGTCTAACACAAAGTACAATCTTTATAACCAGGTACTTGTTAGAATAAAATGGCTTTACACATAGGAACTCTTTAGCTCCTTGAAAAAAGTGTAGAATTGAATTGTAATAAGAAATAGACTGAGGGTAATTTTTGAAAAGAACAAAATTTGAAAGTCATTTTAATCATTAGTTACTTATTTCTTAATTATAATTAATTATAGTTAATATATTAATATTAACACTGTTAATATAATTATAATATAATAATATATAATTATAACTAATTATAATTAATAATTATTTAATTATTAGTTTAAATAAAAGATAATTGTCCTTAAAGCAATTTCCAGTGATAGATTTATAATTTGCTTGCTATGGGGATCTAAACATTGCTTTTGTTTCATTGATCAAGAGACTTTTGCAGATATTTGAAATAAATGGAGACAAAAGTGGGAAAGGTATATACATTATGTGTCTTTGATGTACAGAACGTCATAGTAAGACAGATGCAGGATCACAGTTAATAATCTTTAAGACCAAAATATGAAAAGTGATCATGTGCTGAAGAAAAAGAAACAAGAAGTATATCACTGTTGTTTGAAATAATGCTTCAATAATTCTCTTGCTAACAACTTATCCTTTTATAATCAACTGGCATTGAACATAGTTATGTGCACCAAAAGAGCAAAGTAACAAAAGCAATCACATCTTGATCTGTGTCCTTCTGGATGCTAGAACGAATAACTGCAGCAGCCTCGATACAGCACCCATCCGGTCTGTTACTACCCTCAAATGAAGGGGATCCATGACTTTCTAAAACTATCTGTTCCATTCTGTAGAGATTCTCAGTCATCCAGGTCATGGTTGTCCCAAAGATGCTTTTTCAGGAGGCAACTGGACTTTATTGTTTTTCCTTTTTCTTTTTGAAGATCTTTCGCTTCTCATCCATGATATTAGGATAAGATGAGAAGCGAAACGTCTTTAAAAAAAAGAAAAGAAAAAAGAAAAAACAAGAAAGTCCAGTTGCCTCCTGAAAAAGCATCTTTGAGGATCGGGGCTGCCTGGACTCCACAGTGGAAAATATTAAATTGAAAATGAATACAGCAATAGAGAGAGATGAAGGAGGGGAAGAGAATTGGAGGGGGGGAGGAAGGAGAGAGAGGGATGGAAGAGTAGGGAGGAAGGAAGGGAAGGGAAATCAGAGTAGAAGAAAAGGTAAACAGGGGGGAAGAGAGGAGGAGAAGGGAAGGGGAAGTAGAGAAGAAAAGAAGAAGGTGGGGAAGGAAAGTAGGAAGAGATAGGGAAGAGGGAGAGGGTAGGTTTGAGAGAAAGATTGCTGTGCAATAAAAAAGATGAAGTAGAAGAAAGGCAACTCTGAACAAACAAATATAAATATATTAAGATAAAGAATGAACTGTTTAAGAATAAAAGAGAATAAATATGAATAAATAGTAAAGTTAGAATCTAGGGACAAATGAAGATGGTGTTTATGTATGCAAGTATAGAAATATTGAGATATGTTTAAATAAAAGAAAAGAAAAGAAAAGGGGGCAAAACGATTTTGGCAAAAATTGTAATTGAGTAAAATGTATTTGAATTTGATTAATTGTATAAGATAAGAAACGGTCAACAAACACTCTGTTAAAAAAAAAAGATGTGGGTGAATGTGGGAGAGGAGAAAAACCAATAAAACTTGTTTAAAAAAAAAAAGCACCTTTGAGACAACCATGACCCAGATGATTGAGAATCTCTAAAGACTTTTAGCTATACAATTTAGGATGAACACCCTTTGAATAGTGTGGGAGTAGGAATGGATTTCCTGAGGAAAAAATTGCAGACTACAGGAACCAGGAGCACTACTCATGTGACCCTGAGGACACAGATAAACGTCCAAGTGCTTCAAGGACCCTCTAAAAGGATGCAAATTACCAGCTGTCTGCAAGGAATATAAATCTTTCCATTCCCCACTATCCTGTCAGAGTTGAAGAGACTTCTTGGATGAAAAGCTAAACCTCTTCAAAAAACAAACAAACAAGAAAGTCCAGTTGCCTCCCAAAAAAGCACCTTTGGGACATTTGTTCCATTGTTAAATATCTCTTACTATTCTCCAAATATTTGCAATGTTTAATTTAACTGTCTTTCCTTTTAATCTGAATTCGCTAGTTTAATATTTTATTTTAAGGTAAATTCCTATAGTCTGAATAGTAAAAAGCCATCAACCGTCAGAAACTGTGCTGGATTTGCAGCCCTTAAATTCCCAGACAAAAATGAACTAAATTGAGATTTCTTAATACAGTACCTGGTGTGCAAAAATCCAGGCAAAAACTAGATGGCAGCAAAGTGACACACGCCCACAAACAAAATCTCAATTTTTGGTGCTGCCTAATAGATATTCAGTTTTTTGGCATCTGGGATATGTTGATCCTAGCATTTACAATGCTAGGAAAAGGGCCACCTATTTTAGCATCTCTCACCTGGCCTTTCCTCTGCCTAACAGCATTCAAGAGAACTAAATGCTTATGCCTGCTTTGTAGCAGTGCTACAAAGAAGTGTAGAAGTGTAGCAATGCTAATCTCTCTGCCGGCTCTTTTCTTGGCAACTTACTATAGACCTGCATACTACTTTAACTATATAATACGTGGCTATCCTCTTATTAATTCTTAAAGATAAAGATGCCTGTTTATAGCCTAGGTGCTCAGACTTTCTCTATGTCCTTGTCTCTTAGAGTTTAAATAGATCTAAAAAAAACTTTAAAATCAATGCATGGATAGTTGTGATGTTTATTTCAGAAGAAGTGGCTGAAGTGAAGTAAAATTAACATTATTCTGGCTACTTATAATGATCACAAACTGGATTGGGTTCCTGAGGACCTATCTTTAAGGAAAAGCTAAACAAAACAAGACAAAAAGTTCAATGACATGCTGTACAGTTAATGTTAAAGTGATTTAACATTAAGAGCCATGCAAGATGCAACTGGACATCTTTGCGAATCAGGAATAATATCCAATCAGCATACTGTACTTTATCTTTAAGAATTAATAACAGGATAGCCACATATTATATAGTTAAAGTAACATGCAGTAAAGTAGGTAGCAAAAGAAGAGAAGCCTGCTTGTCCTTTTAACTTCCTTTTCTGGATCAACTCTCTCTCCTCTCCCCACCACCCTCCAGCAAAAAGGCTGAATTATCAAATCTCTGATGATGTATGCAGCAGGAATAGTAGCAATAGGTCAGCAATACAGAAGTCAAAGTACATGACTAATATAAAATTTGTCAAAGATAAAAGTGGAGTAAGTGGTACACTGCAGTCAATAAATAGACCATAACAAAGAAGGAACAAAAGCCTGGCAGGGTGGATATGGATAGCTATCTTGGCTTTAAAAAAATCAAGCTCTATTTGGAGAGCAATCAAGTTGCTGCAGGAAATAGGCTTAAAAGATTGGGAACCTGGAGTTGCAAGACCAAAAGTTCAACACTGATGATTGCAGGCCTGCTGCTGAAAGAACAAGGGCAAAGAGCTAAAAGAAACACGAAATATATGACTGTTCAAAGTCTAAACGTTGTTCACCTTTACTATCAAAATCAAATTTTAGTGAAATATATTGGATGAAGCTCTTGGATAGCTGTGACTTAGGCATTTTATTATAATTTTATTTTATTTTTTTGCATTGAATGCTCTTATTCTACAAGGCTGTCCCTTGCATGTTTGGTTTCCATGCCAGAATTCAAATGCCACCCTTTTCTACACTTATGGACAAAAATGAGATGCAATACCCTGGGAATTTGCCCTTCCCAGTCACAAATATAAAATTAATGGAAGTTGTGCAACTGTATCCTTGCATAATTTTCATTCATTTCAACAGAAAAACTTCCTGGTGGTTTGAGTAGATCTGTCTTCCAGTCAAATCCTTTAATTGTGCCCAACACCCGCTTCTTTTTATTTCACACTAAGGACATTTTCCATTATCTTTTCTTATCCGTATTGTGATTTACTTCCTCTTCCAAATTTCTCCCACAATGAAAACTTTTGAGGTGAATTGAGTTGAGAAAGGATGAACTGTTCACAGTCACCTTAAGTTTGGTGATTAACAGTAGACATAAACCTTGGTCCCTCTTATTCTAGACCAGGGATCAGCAACCTGTGGTTCTGGAGTTGCAAGTGGCTCTTTCACCCCTCTGCTGCAGCTCCATCACTCAAAATATGCATCACAACTGCCAATGTGTGACACCCACTGGCACGTGATTTACTGAGCTTTGGAACCCCCGGTAGGCCAACCATGGATAAACCCAAGAAAAGAAAAGTTTCAGAAGAAAACAGAATGTTTAATTCAACTGCATATGATAGTTTTACTTATTTATTTATTTCGAATTTTTATTCGAAAAAAATTATTTATTAAAATTTATTTCGAGTTTTGTGGCTGCTCAAGAAATAGTTAGGCACGGGAAAGGTTTTGTGGCTCCCGGTCTTTTCTTTTCTGTGGGAAATGGGTATATAAAACATTGGTAGGGCAATAGTTTGGTATTTTTTAACATATGTGAAATTATATGTGCATTATATGGCAAGCGTAATACATACATTTTCAACCTCAGCACTAAAGCATGGTTCTGAATAAAGAAGTCAGATTTTTGCACTGATCTTACCTGTCCTATACCCTGTGTTATTGAGGTATACTGCAAATGTGCGAATTTCATGCTGGGCTTGCCAGGATGGCGATGAGCAGTTTTCATTGTTGGTGTAGGTGTTGTGATTATGGACATATTTCCCTGTAAGAATAGAAGAGCGGGATGGACAGCACATGGGTGTCGTCACAAATGCATTGATGAAGTGTGCACCTCCCTGTTCCATAATCCGCCTTGTTTTATTCATCACTTGCATTGAACCTGAGGAAAGAAAAACAATATCATGTAGAAAAAGACAAGTTTTATCAGATGCAGAAGCTTCATCCTAAGTATCAAGTCGAAGGAGCCAATCATGATAGTCATTTAAGCAAGGGAAAATTGGTGACACATCTGTTATTTATCCCTGCAAAAGTATGCATTTAGTAAAAGCTTTGATGTTTTAAACTCTTTGAAGGTTTAACAAACAAACCCAAACAATCCAATATTAATATTCAAGCTAACACTATGCTACAGAAATAGCACAACAGCCATATCAGATTGTTCCAAATTGTCAGCAAGTTAAGCTTTAAGCTTTAAATCTAAAGAAGCATATCAGACACAAAGAACAAAAACCTAAAGAATCAAAGCAAAACAATTGAGCAGGACAATCTCAACAGATAGGGCTATTCTGTTTCCTGAAATGTGACTTGATAGATAAGATTCATTATCAAGTCACTGTCATCTGCTAGTGACTATATAAATAAATCTTCTCTAAGATGATTTGTCTCCCATCTGGTCCTTCAGATATTCACTTCCTGATAAATCATGATAAATGTTTGCTCACATTCAAGCACATGCAAGGAAAATGCCCCTCAGATTTTTCTACTCAACAAAGGTCAACTATTGGGCAAGAGGAAAGGTCATTCTATCCCCATTTCCAGCTCTTACTGTAGTGTAGTGTACAAAATATATACTATAGTCAAAAATGATACAATTCAAACCCATGCTTCTACCTTAATTAAGCACCATTGAGTTCATGGGGAATGACTATACTATCAAACTCTTAAATTATAAACTAAAAATAATTAATCATCTATAAAAATGTTCACCATTGACTATTTACTGATACTCCTTGCTATGATTTCTAGGCCAGGAGTGTTTGATTTGCAGCTGTTCTACTTCAAAATTTATTTTGTCCTTCTAAAGATCTTCACAAATGCATGTGGTCAATTAGAGTTTCCATCTTCAGTATAGTGTACAAATTACTGGTAAAAGGTAGAATTCATTTCCAAAAGAACACATTTGCAATGGCAGTGAAGGACTATTTCTCAACTGGTTGTTCATCTTTATATATTGTACAAAATATCCAGACTGAAAAAGAATTCATGCACATACATATTTTGAATTTCATTTGCCTAAGCTTTTTTTTTTCCAAACTCAAAATAGATTGCAAAATGGAAAGTTATAAGATTTGGAATTTCCAAATGATCTCTCAGCAGCCCCAGACATTGAAAACAGACAATAGGTATAAACAGAGGTGGGCAGCACGTGAATTAACAACCAGTCTACCCAGCACCGAAAATGTGAGTGTGCACACATGCACACGGTTTAAAAAACGTGGCTAAATAGAACGGCAGCAGCCCACCACTGGGTATAAACCAATATATTCCAGATATAAGATGCGTCCCACCTGCTCTACACAATTATTGCCAAACTGGAAATTGGAAGAGGGACCATTAGTTATAATGATAGGACCCAGAAAAGTTCATGTGAAGAATTTGCAATGGAGGTAAGAGCTGAACAGGTTTTTTTTTTTTTTTTTTAAATTTGATTTATATGCCGCCCTTCTCCAGAGACTCAGGGCGGCTTACAGTGCGTTAAGCAATAGCCTTCATACTTTTGTATATTTATACAAAGTCAGCTTATTGCCCCCACAAACTGGGTCCTCATTTAACCTACCTTTAGAAAGGATGGAAGGCTGAGTCAACCTTGAGCCTTGGAGAGATTCGAACCAGCAGTAAATTGCAGGCAGCTGTGTTAATAACAGGGTGCTTTAAACCACTGTAGTACCAAGGCTCTTGGTTTTTCTGCTCTTCTTATTAGATACTAATGTTATTAACTTATTTACTATGCCTTCTTGGGGGGGGGAGTACTTATGATCAAATTAATCATACAATAGAAAGTAATTTCTGAAATGAAAATATATCAAGTCCATGTCATTCTTTTATTGATTTGTTGTGTTTAGATACTGCCAGATTCAATACAATTTTTCCCAGTGGTTTATAGCATAAAAACATAGTAAAAGTGTTCACGTACTTATATACATATTTTCTGTTATTCTATCCTCTCTTTTAAAAATGCAGAAGACATTTTAGGTGAAATTTTATAATTAATTAAACTATTAAAAGGTAGATCTCATAATCTTACTAGCTTTGCCTCCTTCCTCTTTAAATAACCCAGGTTTCATCAATCTTTTGTCATTCTGTTATTAAAAGATAATTTTTAATAACGTTTTAAATGACAAAGGCATTTTTATTGAAATAATAGTACGTGTTATGGCTCCCCTTAGGGACACTAACTTCTTTTAATAAAACCACTATAATGACAAGATCCTGTAGATCAACAGTCTTTAGTACAGAAACCTATAATCTCTTTCTAGTTTGAGAGCTAATCCAGAGGGGCAGATTAGTGGAAGGTAAACATTCTCTTTTGTTACAATATTAAATAGACTGGCTCTAAATATTTTAAAACAATGGCAACTCATCCAACCAAAACTTCCTTCCTTTATCCTGTCTCCCAAGACAAGTGATGCAATAGGAAATAAAATCTTCCAAACAGTTGATTCATTCCTTTTGTGGAACGTCATTACTTATCTGTTAATTGAACATACTAAACTAAGCAAAATATTTGTCTCTAAAGGAGAAAAACTATTCCAGACAGTCTAACTGTTATGTTGCAATGTTTAGTAGCAATGTTGTATTTAACCCACATTTATTTTTGTATGTCATGCAAAAATGGCATCACATAAGATTAATGGCATTTAATTGACCCAGATATTCTAAATATGCCAGGATCTTCTGAAATATTTATTCAGGCATTTGGATAAATCAATGGTGGTATGGGATTCTGTACAAGATTAAAAGCTGCTTCAGGCCTCTGTGATGTGATGTGTAATTACATCAAATTGGTTGTGTTTGAGATCTGAGCATATTTTCACTGAATTGTAACGTATTTTGTTTCTTAACCTTAAATAACCTGCCTTATCACTCCTTGTGGTCCCAACCTCCTAGTCTTTCAAAAAGAAAGATTGCTTGATCCGTTTCAGCTTCCCATCATAGGAATCTCTTAATTTCTTTGTGTATGACAACAAATGCACACAACGTATGAATGAGTAGGCATGTGTATCCAATTAATTTTATTTTCCTTTTGCAGAGTAGAGAGCTAGGCAAGAGGTATTTTTTCTTATTTCAGAAAAACATTGGAAACTTGGGTGGAAAGGAGTTCAATTTTCTTTGTTTTCATTATTTTGAGGTTGGCCCAAATGGAAATTTCAAGGTTGTCTTTAAAATGTTTTTAATGCATTGGAACGCACAGGAATGGAATGCAAGGGCTGATGCCTGCGTCTTTTAATTCACTATAATATATTATACTAAATAATATGGAGATCTAGCTTTTTGTTCTGTAAAGTAGAAGAACAAAAATGTTCTATAAAGAGGTTAATGCTTTAAGTACATGAAAAGTTTCTACATCAATGTTGTTTTCAAACACACACACATATAAAGTATTTTTCGGACTATAAGATGTACCTAAATTTCGAAGAGGAAATCAACAAAAAAAAGTTTTTTGGGCTCCGCACACCCCATTTTCAGCCCTTTTCCAGCCTTTTTTCTGCCCATTTTCTAGGCTTTTTTCAGCCTGTTTTTTTTTTTTTTTGCCCATTTTTAAGGCTTTATTCAGCCCGTTTCTGAGGCTTTTGGCCCATTTCTGAGGCTTTTTTACAGGCCGTTTTTTCCCAAAAAATTGGCCCCAAAAAAGCCTTGAAAATGGGCCAAAAAGCCTTGAAAACAGGCTAAAAAACAAAAGCCTCAAAAACAGGCCCAAAAAGCCTCAAAAATGGGCCGAAAAAAGCCCTGAAAATGGGTAGAAAAAAGGCCCGAAAATGGGACGTGCGGAGGCACAAAAAAAATGGCCGGCAGGCGGGCAGGGCTTCAGCAATATTCGGTCTATGAGATGCACAGACATTTTCACTCCCTTTTGGGAGACAAAAAAGTGTGTCTTATAGTCCAAAAATATGATATTTGAAACGTGAATATGTATATGTATACATATACATATTCTCACCCAGTACTACAATGAAAATTCTGCATCAAGTGAAAACATAGTACATATGTCTGTTATACAAATCTGCATAATTTATAATTACATTGCAGGTCTCAAAGAAAGATAAGAGTTATTCAGTGAAATCTCTATCTACTACTTAATTCTGTAAACTTCTGTAGAGCCCTGTCAGACTATTTTAGGATCTTAGGAGGCATTTGCCATATATTCATGTAGTCTTAATTAATAAGAAGAAACTTGGCTTAGAAGGAAAGGAAAAAAATCTAGAAGTTGAGATACAGAGCAGAATATTTACAGTGGTCACCCTTCTGCCCATTTTGTTTTTCACCACTTTTAGCTTGCAAACTCAAACAGAAATAAAGAAACTTGGATTGGTTTAGTTTAATCCAATTCCAACTGTTATAGTTTGTAGTAAGTACAAATTTAATAAAAGAAAAACTTTCACTATGAAAGATATATTTTGCAACTTAGCAATTAATTGTAGAAACTCTGTATTTCTCTAGACAAACATAATAGGAACTTATCAAATTTCTGAACCAGCATAGTCTGAAAACGTCTGGATTTGGTTTGGGAGACAGAAAATTAGCATGAGATCATTAAGAGGCTCACATAGCCCCCAGGATATGAAATTCTCAAATTTTCTCAGTCCCACTTTTCACAGTGGAATATGAGCATATTTAATTGGTATGATTTCTAACTTATGGAAAGCATTTCATACATTACAAAAAGAAAAAAGAAAACCTTTTGTGCAGCACAGATTTAATGGATATGTGACACGTATAATACTAATTATTGACCTCTATAGAGCTACATTTTTCACTAGGTTGTATTTTATTAGCAGAAATCACACCATTAACACCAACTCTTGAAGACTCTGAATTGAATGAATGAATTCTGGAGAATAGAAACTAGCAGATGACTTTAACGTTTTAAAAATATTCAGT